CACAGTGTTTGCGTCCGTCCGTCTGTGCGCACGTTTGTCTGACCATCCATTCATACACCTTTCCCTCCATCCGTGCTTTCGTCGGTCTGTCCTTGCTTCCGTCCATCCGTCCATGATGCTTCCGTCCGTTCTTGCATTCGCCCGTCTGTCAATCTGTGCTTTCATTCATCTGTCCGTATGTTGTCTGCATGTGTCTGTCTGTCTGTCTGTCTGTCTGTCTGTCTGTCTGTCTGTCTGTCTGTCTGTCCATCCACTATACAAATTGTGAACTCTACGAAAACCCCTAACGTCATGTAATGATGAGATTTTCAAGACCAAATACACACAACGGCATCTAGCGACCAATTAAAGAATAAAGTATGCTACATACTACTACTGCTGCTACTACTACTACAGAGGAAGCAACAACCCACTGCCGGAGGAGCTTTCCCCTAAAACAGGCCCCGTACATGTGCGCTTCATTGCAAAAGACATCACAGGACGATAGGCTGGAAGCGTTGCACTAGAGCTTTTGTTGGAGTGCCGCAGTGCGCGAGGCGAGGCGAACGAGTGATCCGAGTAATCGAGGCAATGTACATGGATGGATGGATGTGGCTGTGCCCTTTAGATCAGGCGGTGGCTAGCGCCACCAAGCCGAACTACTTAATGAACCAAAAACTAAATTTATTTTTTTCTTTTAAAAAGTGAGTTTGGTGATTCCTACTTTGCAATGAAGAAATTAATTTTTACCCGCGCCTTAACTTTAGCCACTAATAAGATAACCTCGTTCTAGTTAGGTTTACCCGCCTAAAGTCTATTTTGCCCTCCTGGTCCCTAAACCCCAGTGCTTTGAAAAACTCTGCGCTATCATCCTGAACTATAGGGTGAAGCCCTTTACAGAACATTATCAAGTGTTCGGCAGTTTCTTCTTCCTCTCCACACGCACTGCATACTGTGTCTACCCCTTCGTATTTGGTTCGATATATCTTGGTTCGCAGTACTCCCGTCCTGGCCTCAAACAGCAGAGAACAACCCCGAGTGTTATCATAGATTCTTTCCTTGGCAATTTCCTGCTTAAAATTTTAATAGATCTCTAGTGCGGACTTCTTAATCATGCCCATTCTCCACATGTCAGTCTCCGTTTCCATCACTTTCTTCTTAACCGATAGTTCTTTTTTTGGTTTGGCCACCTGCTGTTTTCTAAGTATTTATCAGTCAATTTCCTGGTTCGCTTCCTCCATTTTGTATCGACATTTTTCATGTACAAGTACCTGAAAACCTTCCTAGCCCAACGCTCCTCCCCCATTTCTCTCAATCGCTTCTCAAATTTTATCTTGCTGATAGCTTCCCTGCCCTCTAATGATGTCCATCCCATATGACCTTGTACTCCCTGATTTGGTGTATTCCCGTGAGCTCCTAAAGCAAGCCTACATATTCTACGTTGCTTAATTTCTAGTCTTGCTTGACCTTCTGATCTCATGCACAAGACCGCATTGCCGAACGTCAGCCCAGGAACCATGACCCCTTTCTATATTCCTCTCACAACATCATGCCTATTGAAATTCCACAGTGCCCTGTTTTTCATTACCGCTGCATTCTTGTTACCTTTAGTCGTCATGTATATTTCGTGTTCCCTCAGGTACTCGGTCCCATTGCTTATCCATACGCCCAGATATTTGTATTTGATAGTGTCGGTCACGAGCGCCACCACGCGGAGCTTGTTTAAAACTGAAGGCAGGCTCACTCCGCTGGGAGCGCGAGCCATTTATCAGGCATCTTTCTAGAGGAGGCGTTGCGACAGCTTTGGGAGAGGAGGAGCCCACAAGCACTCTAGGTTGCTGATTGGATAAGAAAACGGTAGCCCATGATGTCTACACTGCAGCAATCGAAAGAAACTAAATTCTGGCAGCAATCTGGCAGCAATCGAAAGAAACTAAATTTCTTTAGAACGTAAAGTTACTGGTACGTGGCAGTACCTTGTCGGTTTCGCTAGGCGCAGGAATTGCTCGTTGTTTCGCTCATATTGCCATACTGTCAGTGCAGTGCAATAAACGCAACGGTGTTTAGAAACATATACGTATGCACTTTCTAAATTAAAGGCAGCTCCGCCTAATACGAACGTATTCACAGGGCTCAAATGTCTAAAATATTGGTTTTATCGACATTTTGTACTAGTGGGAACGCAGCCACCGGATCAGGAATTTTTGACGGTAAGCAAGATGTCAAACTTTCTCCGAGTGGCTGAATCAGTTTACAGACAAACAAAAGGGTAGACAGATGAAGCTTTGAGAGCAAAGCTCCTTGAGCCGTAGTTCGTGTGTCCCCGCTGTATGTAGTAGTAGTAGTAGGTAGTCACCCCTCGTTTAGTCCTTGTAATATGCGCTGGATGGCGGTACTTGTATATGATGTATATAAGAAGAAAAGATGCAAGATGGCAGTACGTAGAGTGTTAACTAGATGGAGGGACGGACAGACAAGCAAACACAGGGACTGACAGATGGATGGACACACGACGGACGGATGAACGCATGGGCGAATGGACGGCCGCACAGATGGGCGCACGTATATACGGAAGCAGGAAGAGCGGACAGACGGATGCATGGACGGACGGACGGGCGTTTCGCCCCACTCATTCAATCCGTGGATATGTAGTGATTTTATGCGTTGAATCATGCCAAGACTATCGTCTTAAAAAAAGCTCCGTTCGCGGGAGGCAAACATACGATATGTCGGTCCGCGATAAGTTGCAGGGCTCACTATTCAATGGCCATGGTCAGACACTGCAAGAATTACTAATGCGCCGTTTCTATCTAGCACTCTTTCCTCGCAGAGCTCTTGTTGAAGCGAAATACTGCTTTGTGACAATGACATCCTCGAATAACTGCTTCGTCGTGCCATTTGTACGCGTCAGTGTCACTCGTGTCGCTTTGGATTGTCTATGCGCCAATTCGTCGACGTTTCAATCCACTGCGAGGTGGTCACCTTAACTAATGCGTCGGACTCACTCATAGCATCCTTCTGTGCCAAAAATAGCTGCGTGACCAGAGCTTACGTCGCCTGGTCGTAACTCTGCCTTCCTTACTTTCACTCACATCAGTAAAAATTGCATCTGCGCAACACGTAATCACGTTGCTCGTTGCGTTATTCTCTAATTGAGAAGCAGTGTTCTATAATATGCCGCTAGGAATCGATCTTAGCCTGAATTCAGCGTCCAATAAATTACACTTTTCTGGCTTCCACACGGCTTTCTCTGATTCCACCCTCACTAATAACTACTAAAGCTACAACGAGCATTTATAACCAAAAGTGTTTCTTAGGCATCACAAAGGATGCATTTACGTTGAACGGTATCATAGCTAGCTCTATTATAATGTTACGGGGTTGGTAGCACATGGGCATTCTATTTACACAGGAGAATGTGATGTGAACATTCTGCAATTTCTGTAAAGACACTTTTTACTTTCGTGCAATACTAATTCCTATGTGGGAGGGTTCAACAACGTTTTAGGGGGGCGAAGCTCCACTTAGTCTAATCTTGTACTGCGTCAGACGTACCCGACAGTATCCGACAAACAAACAGACAGATAGACACTGACCCATCGCGGTGATGTAGTGGCTAAGGTACTCGGCTGCTGACCTGCAGGGTGCGGGTTTGAATCCCGGCTGTGGCGGCTGCATTTCCTATGGAGGTGGAAATGTCGTAGGCCCATATGCTCCGATTTGGGTGCACGTTAAAGAACCCCAGGTGGTCGAAATCTCCAGAGCCCTCCACTACGGCGTCTCTCGTAATAATATGGTGGTTTTGGGACGTTAAACTACATATATCAACCTATCAATCAGAAATATAAACAGGCAGGCAGGCAGACAGACAGACACATAGATGAATGCACGGATTAACTGACGCACGGATGAACGAACGGACGCAAAAACACATGAACGCATGCGTAAACAGACACACAGATAGACGGACACAGTGACAGACGGGTGCTTCACCCCACTCATCATCATTCAGTCCGAGGACATGCTGCGATTTTTTCATTTGTTTGTAACAAGTTCAATAAACGTATAAAAACACTTCTGCGCATACGGCAACTCAGTGTCCGGGAACTTTTGAGATTACTTTAGAATTGTCTGATAAGCTTGAGTGCGCAACAAGAGAGCAGTAGAGTTTATTCCGGCAGCAATGATGACACCAACGATGGTAACAGAACTTGGATGATGATGTTGATATGTGGGGTTCAATGTCCAAAACCACCATACGAATTTGAAAGACGCGATAGTGGAAAGCTCCAGAAATTTTGACCACCTGGGGTGCTTCAACGTGCACCCAAATCTGAGAGCATAGGTCTACAGCATTTTCGCCCCTATCGAAAATGCAGCAGCTGGAGCCGGGATTTGATTCCGCAACCTGTAGATCAGCAGCCAAGTACCTCAGCCTCTAGAGAACCGTAGTTGTGTTGCCGCCAGAACTTATCATGCCGCATGTATGATCGACGACCAGTCTTACAGGTGATACGATCCACGACAATTGTACTCGAGGCTACATCTGCATTGTTTGCAAGTTGCGCTTCTTTCTGTCTGGGCATGCCGAATAAAGTGTTTTATCCTGACCTGTACCTCGTATCACTGATTAAGCAACAAATGAAAGGAAAGTGAATTGAACATATTTGGAGAGGTGGAACACGAGACCCATTCAGAAAAAATGCTTTTATTTTTATGCACTCAATGAACATTTATTTTTTTGAACTGAATGAACTTTTATGAACTCTCGTTCCGAGCCCAATCGCCTGAGTAACATATGTATTTATAGTGCTATTTTTATCTTTGATAAAAAAGAAACGTCGACGAACAGTCACTCGAACATCCTCAGTAATAGGGGCTCGTCTTTTTTCTGCCGCCAACGTCCTATGGGTGTTCACAAGTTGTTCACGGCTCGAACGCTCACATATTATTATGATCTGTGCCTGTATCAGAACTAGTTTAACGCAGGTGCCATTATTTTTTTGTTTTCCTATTTTCAGGAAACCAGCGGAGCTCCATGGAAGTAGCGCATTCATCGCTTTCATCAGCAGCCCTCACTCGCTTGTTTTAACAAATTTACAGTTTTGAGTGTTTAAACTACCCTCAATCTGAATACAATATTGAAAAAATAAACGACACTCACTTTGCGGGCGCACAAAGCTCTCGTTCTCCGCAGCCGCCAATTCGATGGTGTGGTCCTTCAGGTGCAGCCCATCAATTTTTGCAGGAGAAATCGCAGGCATTAGATTAGCTGTAGTTGTACTATGTACTGTTTTTTAAATGAGCTCAATAAATGACGTTCTTCATGAAGAACGCGTCTTTTTACTTATAAAACAATGTGCTAATAATTGTGCATGTGTAATGAATATGACAGAAGGATGCATTAACGACGCAGTGAACGCAAATACACGACATTCTACTTTCCGCAAGCTTGTTTCGTTTGGCCATGATGACACTTGATACGTTTGCTTGGCCTAATTGTGAAGACCAGCTGGCAAGTAGGTTTGTCTAATAAAAGAAAAAATATCTGATGGTTCGTATGAATGAACACATGAAGTTCAGGTATTCACAGTTATTTAAAAACGCACAGAGACTGGACACGAATTTTTTCACACAACACTGGCGCTGTCTTCCAAGGGGTCTTATTGGGAGAATGCGAAATACATAAGCAGAAAAAGACCACACAAGATATTTCATGTACCAGCGAAAGCAAAACTGTACGAAACAAGGTCGCGTTATAAAAGGCACCGAGTTGTCATATACCGACGTGGCGCCTGCTGTGGTGTGCATGCGCGTCCCGTCTTACCAGGGGTGTCTCTCATGTCACTCTGGCTAACGTGATTAAGGGAATGATTGGTTTGATTGACATGCGGAATTTATTGTCCCGAAACCACCATAAAATTATGAGAGATGCTGTAGTGGAGGTCTCCAAAAATTTCGGCCACCTGTGGGGATTTAACGTGCACCCAAATCTGAGCACACGGGCCAAAAACATTTCCGGTTCCATCAGAAATGCAGCCGCCACAGCCGGGATTTGATTCCGTGACCTGCGGGTTTGCAGCCGAGTACCTTAGCCACTAGACCTTCACAGCGGGGTGGCTAAGGGAATGAATACGAAAGACAAGTCCATAAGTACTATGCCACTCACTCTGTTATTACTACACGAAGCCCAACAAAACTTCTCGAAGTGCCTAAAATTAATTGATGGGAAATTACGACGCCTGTTCAAATGTGATAAAATTTGCATAATTGAATACTTTATTTAAACATTGTATTAATTTTTGTGCAAGTAAACGACTTTCTTGTTCATAAAAGTGCCCAGAAATAATTGAATCTTTATTACTAAAATTACAAGGCTGTTTTATGAAAAAAGTTTGTTTCAAATAAAGTTTTCGTACAAACATCATTATTGTGCTTCAGAAAAAGATTATGTTCTTTAGAAAAAAGTTGAAAAGTTTGCACTTGATAGCTATAGCGGTTATAGAGGAAATCTTCCTTTTCTGATAAAGATCACTTCTTTGAAGAAAACGCCATATAAAGTTTGAGCTGTTGTGAAGTCAGGATAAAAAGCTGCTGCTGTATATTCCTCGCCCTTATTCTTAACGATTCGAACACTTGTTTACTATGCAATGTTTGGGCTACTTTGTACACTTAAAATAAAAAAAACTAAATTACGCAGAGCTCTTTTAGCAATTAGCAGTCATTGCACTCGCTGCCTGCCTCTCAATGTGTTCGCCATACACTCAGAAAGTACTGCTTCCCAAGAGCTGTCAGATTTTGCGCGTGTTTGCTGAAAACCTAGAAAGTGCACGTCCTCAGAGCGTTCTGGAAATAGATCGAAGCGTGAGCCACCTGAAATGGCAAGAGTTCGGAACTCATTAGCAAAAGTTGGTAAAGTTAAGCGGGAACAGAGGTATAAACAAACATTCTCGTGTGAGCTACACGATGGTTATTATCTTATTAGACCAAGGATGGACCTGTTCAAATAACTTGTTTAGCTACAAATACCACGAATTCTAGTCATTACGCGTGTAAATGTTATTGTGCTGTATTGTAATCACTGCGATACAAACGTCTTGCTAGAACTCGTGCAGTAAGTAGATGCTGTCAGAGAGCCAGGCACGTTTGTCACCATTTTAAAATTATTTCCGGTCAGCATGAGAAATGGGCCCTTCATGTAACTGAATGCTGGAATATAATTTCATGATAACTGAAAAAAATTGTATTTTCATTCTATTTTGCCCTCCACTCGTTGTAAGAACGACAACTCAGTGTCACTTCTTTTTGCTCCATTGCATATGCGCTGTTCGTTCACGTAAAAGTTGTGGCGGGACCACTTCACACGCGGGGCTCACGTTGTTTCTTAAACTGGTAATTTAACGTAAATAAGCAACGCTAGCATCGTATTGATAATTACTCACCGATATAAATGTTCCTCTTATTAGCAACGGTGTTAGAAAACGGAGTAAAAACAAGGATAATCTGGTGATTCTGAATTACTTTTGGGAAGAATTGTGCTTTCATGAAAATACATCGACAGAAACAGCAATACTTTACGTTAAAAGACAAATGGCTAAAAATATATCATCCAAGGAGTTCACACGGGCAGTTCTTCAGACTTTCAAAGGCATTCGGCTACATTCGGCACAATATTAACGCGATAGCCTTAAAAATCTCGTTCATGGAAAATTCCGGCGTCCGTGTTGGTGTCGACGTTGATGTAGGTGTCAGCATCAGCAATGTAGGTTGTGAACAAAATTAGGATTTTATGCGTGGCCAAAAAATTTAGAACTATGCAAAAGAAAATAAACAATAAAAACATCTAGCGTCTGAGTGGGGTCAAACTCGGGTCGTTTGAGTTGCAAGTGGATGCTCTACCACACGAGCATGCATATGCTTGGACATGAAGTGAAAGTAGATTTCATATTTTACAAACACACGCGTCCTGTAGACATGCTTCATATCGCAAAATGAAATATTGCAGTTATATAGCGTAGTACAAGCGCCCACTGCCAGTGGGTGCCAAAATTTTCGGTGGTCATAATGGCTCCGGGCTTTAAATGCGGTAACTCAACATGAAAGGCACACGCGCTACTGCACCTATTTTCTTAGGCCACGTAGTGGTTGCATAGCAGGTTCGAAAAGCTATCACGGTCTAAGTACGCATCAGAAACAGGATATCAATACCACGGTCAACTATTAAAGGCGAAGGATTAGGGTTTTTTCCTTGATATTATTACCCTGGTAATACATTTGAGGGGCTGCCTCACAGTTACTTTGTAGCTATTTATTAGGCAGGTTACAATATACATTTATTAATGGTTATAAATCACTAATAACGTCCGGAAATGCGAATGTGCCACAGGCCTATATGCAAAGCTCGTTATTTTTTATTTTTACATAAACGTAAGTTATATCATCCATGTGTCAGTAGCTTCCTGTATACAGGCGATACGAGCTTGTCTTCCTTGGCAGCCACTAAGTAAATCTAGAGAAGAATTGGTAAGAATGCTTGGTCTATTCATTGTACTGACTAGATTGAAGCAACTACAAGAAATGGACGATTGTAAATCTAATTGTTTTCTGTTTTACAGTAACACAAGTGTTGAAGTTGTAAAAATTTTCACTGCTTTAAAATAAAGAGATCTAAGGACTCCTTTTGTATACCCTTTTAGGTGCTCTTTTAAGTGAGAACCTAAGCAGAGCACCACCAACAAATAAAGTACGTGCCATTATTTTTAGGCTGCTTTCTGCGTGATACAAACTTTCTTGACTACTTACAATTTGATAAATATCCATTTTATTACTAGCTGATTCGCAATTGTCACAAGGCAATTTAAACAAGACAATTTCGTGCTGGTTTGTGGGAAGAAAATGACGTAAAGGTGTTGTAGAAAGGAACCGACGAGTTCATTTGTGCCCAACTGATCCCCAACACTGAGTATACTTAAATCACAGAAACAAGGTGGCCAGTGACAGAAATACAACGGATGATGCAGAACTAGAAAGAGGTTGAAGGAAATAAAAAGGAATAATATAAGCAAACACATCATTCAAAGAAATGTTGACAGGAATCAGTCATTCCCATATCTAGCGGGACGTTGTCTATGTAGCGGATGCGTTGGCACCAATGCGTACATAATAGACACACTCAGGTCTTCGGTGAATGTTAGATGCAATCAAATGCTCACTCGTGCAGAGGGAACGAGGTGTCCGGTAAGTCGAGGTAGGCGGCTTTCCACGTCTGCCATCTACAGCTGGAACAGGACGCTGGAGACCTAGGGCGTACCTCTCCAATAACACGTGATTAGAAGCTCTGTGTCTAGGGGTGACTTTGCAGTGGCCTTTATAGAGGAGCTCTGCCGGCCGCCATCCCTTGCCCTGGTACTAATTTTCGCTCTGTTCTATCTCAGCCGCATTTCGCTAGCTGCACCTTTGTGCATTCAAGACTTTCTTCGCAATCTTAATCAAGGCTCCTTATCAGCTCAGAAGGCTCACGCTCGCATGTTCTGCAGCCGCGTGTCGTTTTATCATTGGCTTTGTCTTATGTAGCAGCGCACTTCTTAAACGCACAATGGCACCTATGAACATCCACAGTACAGTTTTTTTATTTCGGGCGCTCTTTCAAAAAACAGTAAAGACAGGTTACCAGTTTTAGAAAAGGAGCTGCACAGTGCGTGGGAAGTCTGCAACCTAAATGACGCATTATTTCATTTTTCAGCAAGGATCAGTTACTTACGTTACACAAATATTGTCATGCTAAACTCACCTTACATAGTGGTAATCAAATAGGAAACATCATTTTAGGTCGCATAAAGCATTGCTACTGAGGTGATTCTCCCTATGCACTGTGGTTTCACCGATTCCGATTACTCTTATTCATGACAAGGTTTGTAAGCGGGCCTTATATTATTAAATGCCTAATCTACTCCACATAAATAGCCATGTCCATGATTGTTTAGAACAGAGCAATACTAGAACAATCTAAACATAAAAAAGCTTAAATGCACTTTCCTTTTGTAGAGAGGGAGAAATGAACGTTTATTTAAAAACAGTGTTCCGAGTGAGGCCCGGTATTACCCTCAGGAAGGAGGGTTCCCTACTCCAAGAACCCTCTGGCTTCAACTATCTTTTCGCCCTCGCGACGAGTTGTCGCTTGTCTTCGAAGTCCTCGAGGGGGCGCTAGGTCTCCCACGTTTCCATTAGGTGATCGTTGTTTATTTTTCGAGACTTTGTTCCAGCTCCAGTTGCATGTCGTGGTTTGCATGGCACTGGCATTGCAGGAGCAAGTGTGCCAGGGTGTGCCG